CAACCTGAATGTCTGCTGGTGGGGAGACACAGTAAAGCAGTTCTTTATTAAAATACAGAACAAGTTAGCCATCTTGGCACATGCCTGCAATTCCAGCACTTGGTAAACTGAGACAGAAGGATTCAGAGTTCAAGGCTAGCCTGGGTTACATAGTGAGTTCAAAGCAGCCTAGACTACATATTGAAACCTTGTCTCAGAAAACTGAACCAAACCAAACTGAACCAGTGGGACAGAATTGTAGTTCAGTGCTACAGGACTTGGATAAGGCCCTGTGTTCATTCCCAACACACACACACACACACACAGAGAATACATGTATAGAACAATTATGATACACTAATTGAAAACAGCAATGTCCAAGAATGAACACATGCCTTTGCTTCTTTTCTTTTTCTTTATATTTGTGAGATGAAGTCTTGCTATGATGCGCAGATATAACCCAGGATGTTTGCACTGTACTATATCCCTAGCCCTTTTTAAAATTTTCAGACAGGTCTTGCTAAGTTGCTACATTGCCCAGGCTGGGCTCAAACTTACAATCCCCCTGCCTCAGCTCTCAGAGTGCTGGGATTACAAGTATATGTCCCCATGTCTGGCTCTTTGCTTATTTTCAAAATGAGAAAAAGAGACTCAAAGCAAAGGTCAAAAGAAAAGAAACATTAAGAAGATTCAGGATAATGCTCAATATCTAAGTAATAGAGGAATTTTAGAAGAAGAGAACAGAGAAAATGGAAGAAGTAAAGTTTTCAAATATAAGAAAATTTGCAGAATGGAAGGACTAAAGCTCCAAGGAGCCTATCAAGTACCCAAAATAATGGATAAATATAACTCAAAGACACATCTCTGTGAAATTTCAGGACACCAATGATAGAGAAGATTCTAAGAGCACATAAAAAATTAACATGATAGCAGAATTCTCCAAGCTTAGTAAGCAGGAGTTAGGACAATACTTTAAAAATTCTGTGGGAGGGCCAAGGATACAGCTCAGTGGCACAGCACCTGCATGACAAGTGTGAGGTCCTAAATTTGATTCCTAGTTCAAAAAAAAAAATATTCTGTGGGGAAGCCAGGCATAGTGGCACATGCATGTAATCTCAGATACTCAGGAAGCTGAAGCTGTAGGATTCCCAGTTTAAGGCTAGCCTGGGCAATAAGTCAGACCTCATCTCTAAACAAAAACAAAAATCTTAAAATTCTATACACAGCCCTAAAGACACTTTCAGATATGTCAGGTGCCAGCAATTTACCTACTAAGGGGCCCTTTCTCAAGAAGTCCCTGAAGAATGTATTCTATTAAATGATGAAGAATAAGAAGGATAACAACAAAGAAGGCTGGAAGCAGTAAAGGGATTCCCAGAATGATAGAGAAGGGAGACCCAGGCTGAGATCTGTGCAGGAATCTGAGGTCAACAAGCCTAAAATGTAGTAAGACCCTGGAGGGCTAAAGCGGAACTTTTCTAGGTTAAAAAAAGAAAACAGACTATCTAAGAGGCCTGACTTTGTAAAAACCTACACCAAGTCTCTGGAGAATATGGAAGAAATAATTAAACAGAAAATGAAACAAAAAATAAGGCTAATCTTAAATTCTGAAAAAAAAAAAAAAAAAAACTGCATAAGAAAAGAATAATCAAATTAGTTCAGCAATAAATATTTCAGTCATAATAATATAGAACACCAAAGAATTACTAAAATGGTGGTAATGAGTAGGATGCGGGTTTAGGACTATGAAATCCTCATATGCCATAATGGTTTCACTGGTCTTAAAGAAAAGCCTCCAGTGACAGGTCATCTCAGGCTCTGTCGACATGAAATGTGTTAAATGCATGATAACTGGATTCTTAGTTATGTCATAATATGGACCTAAGTCAATGTCTGGAAAACTGAGTTTCCTACCAGCAGTATAGAAAGATCACAAAAGCAAGAAATATTCCTAATTTGTTACTTGCCTTGATAAATAAAGCAAATCATTTAACCTCCATCTATATAGTCTTAAGAATGTATTAAGAGGAGATAATTAGCTATGGTCACCACATAGAACAGTTAAAGAGTAAAGAACAGAACATGGGCTGTGCAGTCAGTTGGGTCTGATGGTTAGTCTCACCCCTTTCTCCTTCTACTTGCACAAGCTATTCTGCCTTTCCTCCCTAAGCAACAGCCATAACCCACAGCAATAAATACATTTTACACTGCTACTAAATACTCACATCCAAGTACGTTTACATATAGTGGGTGAAAATTTCATGAAGTTATACATGTAACATGTTATAGTCTGTGTCTGCATGTCCCCTCAAATCCTCATGCAGTCATAGGGCAGGCTTCTAGATTTTTTTTTTCTTTTCCAGTACCAGGAATCGAACTCACAACCTCGCACTTGCCAGGCAGGCACTATGCTGCTAAGCTAAATCCCCAGCCCTTCTTCTAGATTTATGATTGATCTGTAGTCTAATGCTGAGATTATGGGTGTGAGTGCTACACCTGCCCCTGGGGCAGACAGTTTGCATATGTAAGGGAGAGAAAGAGGCTTCTTGCTGCCTCTCCTCCTTTTAGCTCTTGCGGCTTTTCCGCCGCCATGAATGGTTGCCCTCTGCCATGTGCCACTCTGCCTTGGAGCCAGCTGAGAATGGACTGAAACCTCCACAAACTGTGAGCTAAATAAACCTTTCCTTCCTTAATTTTGGGAGACAGGTACTTTGTCTCAGCAATGGGAGAAAAGTAATCAAGACATAACATGAAAAGAACAGAAATGTAATAGGACTATGCATTAAAGCAAAACAAGGCAGGCATAGAGGTGCACATGTATAATCCCAGCATTTAGGAGGCTGAGGCAAGAGGATAGCTGTTAGTTCAAGGCCTGGGCTACAAAGTGAGTTCAAGGCCAGTCTGAACTACAGAGCAAAACCTTGTCTCAAAAAAACAAAGAACAGGGCTGGGGATTTGGCTCAGCAGCAGGGCGCTTGTCTGGCAAGCGCAAGGTCATGAGTTTGATTCCCAGTACTGGAAAAAAAAAAAAAAAACCCAAAAAACCCAAAAAACAAAAAACCAAAGAACCAAAAAAAAAACAAAAACAAAACCCACATATACTAATGGCAGTCTGTTAAACTGATTTCATGAATGCACTATATTCTGTACTTTGAAAAATACCCTATAAATCAGTTTCTGCATAAGAAAAGTAAATCACTGTAAAACTCCTTCACTAATAAAACACAGAATTTAACTCATAGGATTAATTCTATAAAAGAGGGTATTATTATCTTCTAGGCATTGTTTTATGGTAAAACTATAATTAATATTAAAGCACAAAACAAATATCTGCTATTTTTATTTGCAATTCCCTATTTCATCAAGAATTGTGGTATTATTTCATTAGTAACTACAAGAACAATAATTGTAATAAAAGCAGCTAACATTAAAAAAGAATGCTTGCCATGTGCTAGCACCACAGTCAGTAATTCACCAGTATTAATTCCTTTAATCTGAATTAAATGAGGGTAAGAAATATTACTATCATTCATTCCTACTTCATGGATGGAGAAACTGAGGTGCAGAGAGATAAATAAACTTGTCTATGGCCATACAGCTAGCTTATGGCACAACTGTGCTTTTTTTTTTTTGGTACTGGGAATTGAACTCAGGACCATGCGCTTGCCAGGCAGGCACTTGTGCCACTGAGCTATATACCCAGAGTGTGCTCTTACTGCAAATACTATTGCCCTCATTATAGGAAGAGAATGAGATCAAGGCAAGTAGGGGTAGGGCCTGGTTGTGAGGTCTAATGAAAAATGCCATCCATAGTAACTAAAGATTCCATTCAGCTCTGAATGCCCACCATGAGCCAGACATGATTCCACTCAGGGTATCCATTTAACAGGGAAGAAATATGAGCATAGAGAATAGGATCACAGATGAGGGAACAGTGATTTTGTCTGAAGAGAAATAATAGTTACATGGCAATCAGTGCATGATTATTTCCTTTACTTCGCTCTTTGAGGAACCATCTAACTGTTTTTTACAAACCCGAAACCCAAGGTTCAAAGAAGTCAAAAACTGGCCCTGCCCTACCTGCTCTAAGACCCAGGACTCTGACTCTATCTTACAGACCATTTCTACTTTAACCGAGTGACTTAAATTCAAGAAGAGAGAGGGCTGGCTAAGGCCCTGTTGGCACACAACTTAACAGCTTCCCCAGGCTACTCTCTATACCATTCTGGGAAAATTATCTCACACTCCCTAATTATTATAGGACATCCACTTCCATAATCTCCAAGGAATCCTTCCTTTTCAAGGCTAATCCTACTGCTTAGTTGTTGTGCCCTTTCATGTTCAGTGTTTTATACTATCAACTAACTTTCCTCTTCTTCTTGTATTTCCAACCTTTTTCGTTATCTTTAAACACGCTTAAATTTCCCCAATCTAACCAGGATCCCACCTAACAGAAATAAATCCTCTTAACTCTATGCTAATCAGATATTCTTAAAAATTCCTTATATCTAGGTTAAATTACTTTGCTTGAGCAATTTTATGCATTTCAGGAAATGTTATGGCCATAAAATACACACAAAGCAAGAACAAACCAAGCATCTCTGGTACCTGAGGAAGTAAAGTTTTTTGGAGTGGTTGCTGCAGTGCTGGAAATCCCCTGCCAGGGCTGTGTTCTGGTGACTGTGGACTGGTTGTCTGGAAGCCATGTCCCGTTTGGAAAGATGGCAGTGCTTACAGAATTAGTGCTTATTGTTCTGATGGTCCCATTGTCCGAGTATGAATAATTGACAGTGGTTACATAGGTGGGTCCCAGAGTTGAATTTGGGCTGAATGTTGGTGCCGCAGAAAGAGAAGTTACTGAAGAGGCTGGGTTTGAAGTTTTGTTCTCTTCTCTAACCGATTCTGTTGTTGGTGCTTTAATTGATCCTAAGGAGGGTGAAACTACAAACACCAAAAAAATAGAGAAACACCATGTGAATAGTGTGAAGCTCAAAAGTTATTACACGAAGCAATAAGCTTTAATAAAGTCCTCAAACATTTGTTCAAGCAAACATACACACACACACTTTTATCTAATTTTGGACTTTTCTTACTCTGCCAAAGAACTACTATCTATAAGAAGCAGAAACAAGAATCTTCACTTAGTTTTTCAGAATCAATATACAGTATTTTAAATACAAATAATTTCTTTTACTATTCAGTAAAAGACATAATAATCTTTTTGATATATTTAAAATAGAATAGAGTTTGTGCAACAATGCTGAGCATTCAATACACTAAAGAGATTTCCAAAGACAGCTGTTTTACCACCACTTCTTTTTTGTGGGCTGGGAGTTAAACTTAGAGCCTCATGCATTGTAGGCAAGTGCTTTATAAATGAGCTCCAGTCCTCAACTCCTGTTGTAACTTTTAAGTAAATTTTTAATATTCTTTTTTTAATACCACCTTATTCTTCAAATATGAGTCATTAAAAGTGAAAACAAAATTCTATTTCAAATGCCATAGCTGGGCATGGTGGTCCATGCCTGTAATCCCACCACTCGGGAGGCTAAAGCAAGGGGTTCATTGTGAGTTTGAGACCAGCCTGGGCTACAAAGTGAGCTCAAATCCAGCCTGAACTGCATAGCGAGACCGTCTCAAAAAAGACAAAAAAAAAGAAAAAAAAAATCAAATACCAGCCTTCTCAAATGATCACTTACCTGTGGTAGTACTGTTGGCACTGACATGTATCAGACCACTACCAAGCAAAACAAGAATGAACCAGGAATCCATGCTGACCTGAAAAATAGGGAGTCATATTAGATGAGGTCTTAGATTATTATTATAATTATGTCTAAATGATTCAAAATACAAGAGCATTTTGGGTGGTATTTCCCTGGCTATTAAAATATGATCACAGCACCAGTGATCTCTTGGGAGCCTAATAAGTACGTTTACCCAGGATTTTAATCACAATTTGAATCATTATACAAATAAAAATAGGTCTTTGTGGGGGCACTACTGGGCACTGAACCTCAAACCTCATGCATGCCGGGCTAAAGCTCTACCACTGAGCTACTTCCCCAGTCCTAAAAATACATCTTAGTGAGAACAAGCTTTTAAAAGTAGTGTTTTCAACCTTGGTTGCACTTTAGAATCACCCAAAAACCTTTTTCAAAGTCCCTATGCCAAACCGTGTCTTTGTGAGGGAAAACTAAGTAGCTGTTCTTAAAACTCCCAAGTTGATTGCTATGTGCAGCTTAACAGTCTTCAGAGTGAGAGTTATGAAGAAGGGAGGCTAACGGTATTAATATACTGTTCTTTGAGGTAAATACTATATAGTTGACTTCTAATCCTTTATTTTGCCTCAAACCATAAAAGAGGACATTGGCACATTTCCATCAGTAATAGTGCCTCTGGCATCTGTTCAGATTTCTGTGCTCCACACTGAGCTAGATACTAAAAAAATGATTGGGGAGCAATTTCCTTACAAGCCCCATCTTCATGTGACTCCTAGTCTAGAAGTAAATCAATATGGTGGCCATGCTCCAGGGGAAAGAGGACATGCCTCCTTAACCAGTAAATGAAAATCTCCAGAGCCATGGGGCAGCGAGGGAGGAAGATGTAGGTACAAGTTTGCCATGGCTAGCATGGCAATGCCTTAGAAGGGGAATGGTTTGGTTGTAGCAACACAAAATTTTAAACATTTCCCCATTCTTCCTAAGTTGTGATTATTAAACCAGTGATACACTATTAGATTTTTGTAACTCGGAAAGAGCTGGATAGTCCATTAACATTGATCTGATAGGACCCAGCCTGTGCTTGCTTCGGAAGCATATATACTGATAGGACTCAGCTCAATGTCTACCTGACAATATTTTAAAGTTGAGAATATATACAGTTCTCCCAACAAGGATTAGGAAAAAAATTGGAAGACTGACTTTGAATACATGCATACCTATCCTTGATAAATCAGTAAGAAATGGTTTTGGGAAATACACGTATTTGGAGGGAAAGAGACCATTGCTCCATCCCCTATACTACCAAAATAAATTCCAATTGAGCTAAAGAATACTTAAAAACATATTTAAAAGTGAACAGACAAACACGTATGTGAACTCAGGATGAGGAAGGACTTTCTAAGCATAAAAACAATGCAAAAGCCAGGCATGGTTATGCATGATTGTAATCCTAGCACCTGGGAGACAGAGGAAGGAGGACTCCCACAAGTTCGAGGCCAGATAATGAGTTTAAAACCAGCCTGGACCACACAGTGAGACCCTATCTGGAAAAAAAAAAAAAAGACAATGCAAGCTGGGTGTTGTGGCGCAGGCCTGTAATCTTAGCACTTGTCTATAATACTAGCACTTGGGAGGCTGAGGCAGGAGGATCACTAATGAGTCTGAGGCCAGCCTTGGCTATATAGTGAGTTCAAGGCCAGACTGAACTACATAGCAAGATTCTATCTCAAAAAAAAAAAAAAAAAAAAAAAAAAAGGCACTGCAGAAAATCACAAAGGTAAAATAGGATCATCTGATAGCATAATAAAAGCCACTAAATGTGATCAAGAAAATACACCACAAGAGCTCATTCCCAATTCTGGGTGAAAGGGAAGCATTACGACTTTGGACAGAATAACATTATGAAGCTGGACTACAGATGATGTTTTGATAGCTGTTAACCATTTAGGCAAAATTCTCCATTATCTGAAAATTGTAAAAAAAAATTTTTTTTCCCCAAGGCTACTGCTTGCTCAACAGAACATTTGATTCTTCTATCCTTGTCTTTTAAAAAATAAGAACCATGGATTTGTAAAAAGAATAAAAATCAACCTCTCTCTCTTTCTCTCTGTGAGTGTGTGTGTGTATGCATGTATATGCAGAGAGAAAACCACTTTTTAAGTACTCTTAACTGGGAATTATGTTTTAACCAAAATATAAAGATTAATAAAAGAAACATGGGAGGAAAGTCTATTGGATACAACTATGCAAATATTATAAATGTGCAATAAAAATATTTGTTAAAAAAGGAAGAAAACTCAATACTGTCAGGATGCCAGTTTTTTCCCAAGTTGGTTAATGTGATTATAGATTAATGTGATCTTAATAAAAAAAATCACAGATTAATGTGATTTAATAAAAATCTAAGTTATTTTGTACATACTGACAAACTGTTTTTAAAGTTCCTATGAAGAGGCAAGAGATTCAGGAGAGTCAACTCAATTTTGAAGAAGAAAAACGTCAAAGGACTGACAATACCTGACATCAACTAATGTAAAACTACTCTGGGCAAATAAATCAATGGGATAGAATAGACAGACCAGAAATAGACCCACACAAATTTGACAAAGAACAAAGGCAATATAATGGAGTGAAAATAGTCTTATTAGGTGCTGGAACAATTATACAACCACATAAAAATCCTAGATAAGACCTTACTTATACCTTTCACAAAAATTAATAGAATCATATATATTATACAAAACTATAAAATCCCCAGAAGATAACATATGACAAAATCTAGATGATCTTGGATATGGTAACGCCAAAAAAAACCTGCTTCCCCTTGGCATGGTGATGGCTTTTTGGATATAACACAACCCACCAAGGAAAAAAGTTGGTAAGCTGGACATCATCAAAATAAATGCAAAAGGTAATGTCAAGTGAGTAACAGCACAAACCACAGACTAAGAAAATATTTGCAAAACACCTGTGACAAAAACCATTACCTAACATATACAAAGAACTCTTAAAATTAATCACTAAGAAATTTCACAACTAAATTTAAAAATGGGCAAAAGACCTGAATAGACACCTTACTAAAAATGATGTATTACGGGGCTGGGGATTTAGCTCAGCGGCAAAAGCGCCTGCCTGGCAAGCGCAAGGTCGTGAGTTCGGTTCCCGGTAAGGGAGAAAAACCAAAAAAAATAAAAAATAAAAAATAAAAATGATGTATTATGGCAAATAATGAATGTGAAAAGAAGCTGAACATCATACATCATTAGGGAGCTGAAAATTTAAAAAATGAGACACCACTACATATCTATCAGAATGGCCCAAATCCAAAATATTGATGATACTAAATGTTTGTGAAAATATGGTGCAACAGGAACATTTATTCATTGCTTGCAGGAGTTCGAAAATGGTAGTCACTTTGAAAAACAAGCTAGCAACTTCTTATTAAAACTAAATATTAAAAGAAAAATAAACATATTCTTACTGTATCAACCAGCCAATTGTATTCCTTGGTATTTTACACAACTAAATTGAAAAACTATGTCCACACAAAACCTGCCCAAAGATGTTTATAGTAAATTATCTGTAACAGTCAAAACTTGGAAGCAGCCAAGATATCCTTCATCAGGTGAATGGACAAACTATGGTACATATCCAGACAATGGAAAATTATTCATTGCTTAAAAAAAGAGCTAAAATCATGAAATGACATTAAAGAAGTTTAAATGCATATTATTAAGTAAAAGAAGCCAATCTGCAAAAGCTGTATACCATATGACTCTAACTGCAATAGTCCTACCTTATCAGTCCTTTTGCTTTCTAGTTTAAGTTATGTGGAGTCAACCACAGTCAGAAAGTATCAGTATCTGTCTTAACTCTTTTAAGAGAGAGAGCTCACACTCACAGAACTTTTACTGTATATTGTTACTCTCTTATGATGTCTCATTTATAAATTAAACTTACATTACAGATGACTTTTAGGTCAGTGACATTCTTCTGAATGATACTACAATGGTGGACACATCATTATACATTCATCCAAATCCACAGAGTATTCGTCACTAAGAGTGAACTCTACTGTAAACTATAGAGCTTGGATGATGATGATGAGTCACTGTTCACTGACTTCAATATAATGTACCACTGTGACGTAGAATGTTGATAATGGGGGAGATGGTACACGTGTGTCAGCAAGAAGCATTTGGAACTGCTCAATTTTCTGCCCAATTTTGCTGTGAACCCATAACTCTCTAAAAAATTAAGTCTGTTAATAAAAAGGAAATGAACTGGGGTGTACGGTCATACATAAGACAAAATGTTAAAACAAAAACTCATGTATCAATATTGAAAATATGAAGATCTCCAATGTTTTTTTCAGTGCTGGAGATCAAACACAAGGAGTGCTTTGCACATGTAAACATATACCCTACACTTACCCCCAAGACCCCAATTTTGAAACAGTTAACACCTAAACGAAAGATTTACAGAAAAAAAGTCAAGAAAATATACCTAAAAGTGTGACTATCTCCATTAGTGAAAGGAATATAATGAGATAACATTTTTACTTTCCAATCAATAAAGTTCAATCATATGAAAAATTCAATGCAGACAGTCACATGAAGACTGCCAATCAGCCTATAATAACAAACTTGTTTCTGGAAGATTACACTACTATCTTAACGGTGTCTGAACCTCTAATCATAATACTGGGAAGGTAGTAACAATCCAAATATCCAACAACAGGGAAAAAAGGAGAAAGGTGAAATAAATATTATGTTGCTATAGAAGATGACATGGTTGCTATTCAAGAAGCTACATTCAAAAAATGTAGGCAAATGGAACAAACCTTTATTATTTTTTTAAAGCCAAGGTCTACATACACACACAAAAAAATCATGATTCTCCTGCCTCAGCCTACCAAGTGCTGGGATTACAGGCACATACCTCAGTTTAAACCCTTAATTTGTTAAACTTAAAAAAATAAACCAGATACAAAACTGGAGCTCACCTAAGTTTGTGTGTACATGAATGTATATGCACGAAAGTAAGGCTGGAAGGAAA